TTCAGTTTTCCCTGGTAGATGTGTATTTATTTTTCTTACCAGGCAGACTACATTGAGATTTCTTGTATTTTCAATTATGTACTGTGAACATGTGTGTGTTTGGTGGGGGGCATTACCCCCAGAAAGTCTAGTGGGGGATGAAAGGGGATTGAAAATACCTTTATTTAATAACTGATATTTGTTTTATAGAACCTGCATAGTTTAAAGTATGCCTTTCCTCATATTTTATTTGGTTCCGACCTACACCAATGCCTGTGAAGCTCAGACAAACTATACAGTTACTAGATATGTTCAAGCATACAGAAACCTATATTTAAAGGGACACTTAAGTCACCAGAACAACTACAGCTTATTGTAGTTGTTCTGGTGACTATAGTCAGTCCATGCAGGCTTTTTGATGCAAACGCTGCCATTTCACGTTATGCTTGAGGACATCCAGCATCACCTGAAACCCCTTAGAAAAGCATTATATAATGCTTTACTATGGGGCTGTTCTAATGTGAGCGTGGCCAGCTCAGGCAGACCCGGAGGTGGACCCAGCGCCAAGGGACATCGGCACTATTGTTTCCCTTTAATGTAGCATAATAGACTAGTGAAAAAGTACTTATGAAACAGGTAAGAAAGTCGAAGGATAAATCCAGGTCTCCAAATCGTCACAATGCTGGCGGTACAGTCAAGATTTTATGGTCCTATCCCTCTGTTCTGGGTCTGGTTGCAGATGTTCCACTTTTGTCTCCAAAAATGTAGTGTATTATTACACTAATGGCACTGAACCAGTGCTCCCTGCATGGTCTGCCCTGCATGGGATAGCTTGTGCAATGGCAGGCAGCCTGGTATACATTCCAGTCAGGGTGACCTGCCAGTTCTTTGGGCTGATTCCCCCTCCCCCCCCCCATTCTGCTTCATAGGGATGGACTTCCCATAAAGTAGAGTAGGCATCTGTCAGCAGACACCTGTCCTGTAGGGGGCACCTGGTTTTAAGCACTTTTAATGTGCCTTTCTGGAGCTCAAGTTTGCCGAAGTGTCTTCTGCAATGCAGATCTCCTCTTATGCTTGATTGAAGAGATGCAGGAACAGTTAAAGAGGGTGTAACACTTAAGTGCCATTCCATCTCCTCCAATGTCTGCCTATTCCTCTGCAGTCCTTGTTCCAGGCAGGTAAAGACCCCTCTGCAGCTTTCATTCCAGGCAGGTATGCACCTCTGCTTGCAATGCAATTGCTCTTGTCTTTATAAAGACACTTGCAGCTCTCAAGCCAAGCTCTCTTTGATTTGTCCCAGGCCTAGAGGGATCGTGCAGCCAGCCAACAGGTACAACAACTCTGTGATTGGGATCCCTAAAACTCCACACCGGACACAGTCCCAAAAGGAACTAACATGGGATGCTTTTACTTGGGACTAGCCCTTATGATCATTACATAAAGCTTACAGTGACACTCAAGTGGAGAAATATATACACACTCATAATAACACATAAACATATTAATAAAGGGCGGTTAAGACAATAACGTGAACTATTTCTCCTGCGTGCAGAAATCATAATAAGTAAATCTACCTGAATATGCAAATTAACAAAGCTGTCTATTCAGGTAGTGCATATAGCTCTTACTACCACCAGGTTGCGCTGTACAGGCTTCACAGCCAAATCCTCCTAGTTGGTAGCAAGCACCAGCGGGACAGGCAGGGCCGGACTGGCCCACCGGGATACCGGGAAATTTCACAGTGGGCCGTCGGCACCTGGGGCCGAGCAAACAGATGGGTATGCTGGGGAAGCTGTGCTGTCTCTTCTCTCCAGCGCGCAGCTTAATGAGACCGGGGCCGGAATATGACGTCATATTCGGGCCGCGGTCTCATTCAATAGGGCGCGAGGGCAGGGTAGCAGAGACAGCACAGCTCCCCCTGCGGCCGCCATCACAGCTCCACCTGCGGCTGCCATCACAGCTCCCCCTGCGGCCGCCAACACAGCTCCCCCAGCGGCCGCCAGCACAGACAGCTGTCTGACCTGCACGATCCCCTGGCAGGTAGTAGTAATGTGTGTCAATGTGAGTTTGTCTGTCTGTCTGTTATGGTGTGTGTGTGTGTGTGTGTCTCTGTTATGGTGTGTGTGTCTGTGTCATGGTGTGTGTCTGTCTGTGTGTGTCATGGTGTGTGTGTGTCTGTCTGTGGGTGTCATGGTGTGTGTCTGTCTGTGTCATGGTGTGTATCTGTCTGTATGGTGTGTGTGTGTGTGTGTGTGTGTCTGTCTGTCATGGTGTGTGTCTGTCTGTGTCATGGTCTGTGTGTCTGTCTGCCTGTGTCATGGTTCGTGTGTCTGTTTGTGTCATGGTGTGTGTATCTGTCCATCATGGTGGGTGTGTGTCGGTGTCATGGTGTGTGTGCCATGGTATATGTGTGGCTGTGTATCAATGAGCTTGTGTGTGTCAGTGAGATGTCAGTGAGATTGTCTGTGTCTGCATGTGAGTATGCTTACTGTATAATTAAACGTTTTACTCTGAAAGGACCAATATTTTATATTAGAAAAAGCCCCAGATGATTGAGTACTATATATATACAGGGAGTGCAGAATTATTAAGCAAGTTGTATTTTTGAGGATTAATTTTATTATTGAACAACAACCATGTTCTCAATGAACCCAAAAAACTCATTAATATCAAAGCTGAATATTTTTGGAAGTAGTTTTTAGTTTGTTTTTAGTTTTAGCTATGTTAGGGGGATATCTGTGTGTGCAGGTGACTATTACTGTGCATAATTATTAGGCAACTTAACAAAAAACAAATATATACCCATTTCAATTATTTATTATTACCAGTGAAACCAATATAACATCTCAACATTCACAAATATACATTTCTGACATTCAAAAACAAAACAAAAACAAATCAGTGACCAATATAGCCACCTTTCTTTGCAAGGACACTCAAAAGCCTGCCATCCATGGATTCTGTCAGTGTTTTGATCTGTTCACCATCAACATTGCGTGCAGCAGCAACCACAACCTCCCAGACACTGTTCAGAGAGGTGTACTGTTTTCCCTCCTTGTAAATCTCACATTTGATGATGGACCACAGGTTCTCAATGGGGTTCAGATCAGGTGAACAAGGAGGCCATGTCATTAGATTTTCTTCTTTTATACCCTTTCTTGCCAGCCACGCTGTGGAGTACTTGGACGCGTGTGATGGAGCATTGTCCTGCATGAAAATCATGTTTTTCTTGAAGGATGCAGACTTCTTCCTGTACCACTGCTTGAAGAAGGTGTCTTCCAGGAACTGGCAGTAGGACTGGGAGTTGAGCTTGACTCCATCCTCAACCCGAAAAGGCCCCACAAGCTCATCTTTGATGATACCAGCCCAAACCAGTACTCCACCTCCACCTTGCTGGCGTCTGAGTCGGACTGGAGCTCTCTGCCCTTTACCAATCCAGCCACGGGCCCATCCATCTGGCCCATCAAGACTCACTCTCATTTCATCAGTCCATAAAACCTTAGAAAAATCAGTCTTGAGATATTTCTTGGCCCAGTCTTGACGTTTCAGCTTGTGTGTCTTGTTCAGTGGTGGTCGTCTTTCAGCCTTTCTTACCTTGGCCATGTCTCTGAGTATTGCACACCTTGTGCTTTTGGGCACTCCAGTGATGTTGCAGCTCTGAAATATGGCCAAACTGGTGGCAAGTGGCATCGTGGCAGCTGCACGCTTGACTTTTCTCAGTTCATGGGCAGTTATTTTGCGCCTTGGTTTTTCCACACGCTTCTTGCGACCCTGTTGACTATTTTGAATGAAACGCTTGATTGTTCGATGATCACGCTTCAGAAGCTTTGCAATTTTAAGAGTGCTGCATCCCTCTGCAAGATATCTCACTATTTTTGACTTTTCTGAGCCTGTCAAGTCCTTCTTTTGACCCATTTTGCCAAAGGAAAGGAAGTTGCCTAATAATTATGCACACCTGATATAGGGTGTTGATGTCATTAGACCACACCCCTTCTCATTACAGAGATGCACATCACCTAATATGCTTAATTGGTAGTAGGCTTTCGAGCCTATACAGCTTGGAGTAAGACAACATGCATAAAGAGGATGATGTGGTCAAAATACTCATTTACCCAATAATTCTGCACTCCCTGTATATATAATTATATATATATATAGTACTCAATCATCTGGGGTGGCAAGATATTTAACCTGCTCACCGGCATGAATCAGGATGTTGGGAGGTATGTAAATGTAGATTCAAGCATTTTGCCAGACTAGATCTTTTAGCATCCCATAATGATGGCTTTTGTGAGGACAAATTCAGCAAAACTAGCTACAGAGCATGTTGAGTTGGATTCATGATGCATTTGTGACATAGTACAGCAATTCTCAAAATTTTCTAGACCAATGCAACAATTAAATCAGAGAAAACTTAATTTTTTTTCTTTCTACCTTCATTAACATCTTATATCCCAATGAATTTTTCCTGTGCAACTCTTTGACATAGCGTATCAATATCGTGAAACCTCCCCCCACCCCCCGCCATTTTTTGTATTTGCCAGTGTGTCAAGGTGTGTAAATCTGTGCTTGTTTGTGCCAGTGTGTGTATCTGTGTGTGTGTGTATATATCTGACACACAGATACAAACACACACACACACTGGCACACACAGATACACACAGATACACAGACCTTGACACAGTGTGCATCTGTGTGTGTGTATGTATGTATCTGTGTGTCAAGGTGTGTGTATCCAAGTTTGTATGTGTCTGTGTATCAAGGTGTGTGTATCCAAGTTTGTATGTGCCAGTGTGTATGAATCTGACACACAGATACACACACTGGCAGATAGTGGCACACAGATACACACGCTGACACAGATACACACACCTGACCCACAATGTGTATCTGTGTTTGTATGTATCTGTGTGTCAAGGTGTGTATATCTATGTTTCAAAGTGTGTGTATCTGTGTTTGTATGTGCCGGTGTTTGTCAAGGTGTGTATATCTGTGTTTGTATGCGCCAGTGTGTGTATCTCTGTGTCAGTGTGTATGTGTGTGTGTGTATATGTATCTAACATACAGATACACACACACACACACACACACTGGCACATAGTGGCACACAAATACACACACACTCAGATATACACACACTTGCACCCCCAGATAGTCACTGACATACACACACACACACACACAGGCACATACAAGCACACTGATACACACTGGCACATACACACACACTCAGACACACATGCACTCTGACTGACAAACACACATACTCTTTGACAGACACACATACACTCTCAATGACAAACACACATACTCTTTTACAGACAAACATACAAACATATACACTCTCACTGACAAGAACAGATACATTCCCACTGACAAGCACATACACTCTCACACAATCACTGACAAACACACATTCACTCTCACTGACAAACACACATATACTCTTTGAGTGTATCTGTGTTTGTTTGTGCCGGTGTGTGTTAAGGTATGTATATCTGTGTTTGTATGCGCTAGTGTGCATCTCTGTGTCAGTGTGTATCTGTGTGTGTGTATCAGTATCTGACACATAGATACATACACACACTGGCACATAGTGGCCCACAGATACACACTGATACACAAATCTTGACTCACAAATACACACACACTTAGATATACACACACTTGCACCCACAAGCATACACATTGGCACATACTCACACTGACACACTCAGATACACACACACTGACACACACACACATACAAACACACTGATACACACTGCCACATACACACACATACTTAGATACACACAGTCACACGTACACAAACCTTGTACACACACACACACACACAGTGACACATACTCTTTGACAGGCACACATACACTCTCACTGACAAACACACATACACTCTCACTGACAAGAACAGATACATTCTCACAGGCAAACACATACACTCACACACTCACTGACAAGCACACATTCACTTTCACTGACAAACACACATATACTCTTTGACAGACACACAAACACATACAAACTCCCTAACATACACACATACAATTTTATTTTTTTTACTCCATGCAGCCCACCTACCTTTAGAAGTGCGGAGCATGCAGTCCCTGGGGTCCAGTGGGGCTGCTGAGTGGCTGGCGTGCGGGCGGCAAGGGAGCAGTGATCTCCCTGCTCAGCTCCTCTTAGTGATGCCGGAGCTGGAGTGACGTCATATTCCGGCTCCAGTATAACGCTGTGCGTGCGAGGGAGCTTTGCAAGGAGATCACTGCTCACTGCTCCCTCGCCCGTATTTTTGTAATAATTTATCTCATTTACGGTTAAATCTCTCCCTTTGATAATATTGTAAAGGTCTACGGAATATGCTGGCGCACTTTGAGATTGTCATGCTCACTCGCATTTCTGGCCGTGTTCCTGCTTCCAGTCTCCACTCCAGCGGTTCCAACGCCGGCTGCTGTATCTCCGCCCTCTTTTATGACACGGCACGTGCTCGCCGACATAATGGCGCTAATGACATCATCACGTCGCGTGCGTGCCGACGTCATGATGCAGATGACGTCACGACCCATCAAAACATCCAGATTCAAACCTTTTGGGGGCGTGGCTTCTAATTTAAAGAGCCAACCTATAAAAGGCTGGTTCACACATAGGACTTTGCCTTGTTGTGGTTCTTTTGTTAGTTCCCAATAGTGCTTTACATTTGGTTGTTCTATTTGGTATTTTGACTTCGGCTATCCTGACTATTCTCCATTCTCCTATTTTGACTCGGCTCACGTACCTCGACTATCGTAATATCTGGTTTCCTGACTCGGCTTGTATACCTCGTTTTCTTGATTTCTTGCTCCCTCGAACCTGGCTTGTTCCTGACTATTCTCTAGCTGTCTAACGTAGAGTCCAGGGTTATTTATTAAAGTGAGAATTCTTGGGGATTCAAATTTAACTCAAAGTAAAGTTCAAATTTACACTCAATGTTGCCGAACTGAAAACCTATTTTTCCAGTTTGTCTATTTTGGCCTTAAATTTGAAGTTCACTTTAAATTCCTTATAATTGACAATTTAATGAATTACACTGTATGAGGTTTCCTCCAGAGTCAGGTTTGCCAGACGGTATAGTAGGTGCCTGTCTATGTCTCTAAGTTTCGGAACTTGGCAAATGTATGGTGATACACAACAAGGAACCTCCTAGAACCCTCCTCACCAGGGGTTCCCAACCCAGTCCTCAAGTACTCCCTTCTAGACCAGGATTTAGGGATTTCCCTGTTGTGTCTAAAGTGTTTTTTTTTTCTTTCTAAAAACACCTTTGAGACTACTGGGTAATCCCTAAATCCTGGACGCTTTGGGGGTACTTGAGGACTGGGTCAGGAACCACTGCTCCTTACTAATACTCCATTCATTTTGACCATTTGGTAATAAGAAGAATTTTTCACTTGTAGCTCTGAGCAAGTGGCTAGAAATAGCATATTTTTCAAATGTATTCCACATTGCACCATCAGATATAAAATTGATATGGCTGTCCTCACATTTTATTTTCTAAAAATTACTACTATCTTTTATCGTCAGTCTAAGTATTATATTAATCCCTTATTATGATTTCTAACATTTACAATTATTTATATGGCACCAACATTTTCTATAACGCTGAACAACAGATAAACCAAGACAATTAATTATGACAAAACACATTTGACATACCGGAATCGTAAGTGAAGAGGGCACTGACAAATGAGCTCAGAATCTGAAAGGATGAGGGAAAAATATACAGAGGGAAGTGAGGGAATCAAATGATTTGGGTGTTGCAGAGGGTAAAGAGTTGAGGTGGAAGATAGTAGATGGGAGACAGCAAAGAAAGATTGTAAGTTGTGACGAATTAAGGGGCGAGCTTTTAGGCTTTTCTAAATACACAATTATATATTTTATTTATTTTTTGCATATTCCATCTCACAATCCCATTATTTATCCTATATTTGTCTATGTCATCTCACAATTTCTAATGCTATAATTCATCCCATGTGCCATAATTTACTGCATTACTTCCCATGATTTCTTATGTCATACCATTATTCGTGGCATATGCCTGTGTGGATGTGGGTTCATATTTATGTGGTATTTATTAGTATCTGTGTGTGGAAAAAAAAAACAATGTGTGGATGTCGGGGGTATTTGTGCAGAGTGTGTTTGTTTGTATTTGAGTGATTCTAGTGAGAATGTGTGTAATAATAATAAATAATAATGTTATCATTGTTATCTATAGTGTACTACTGTAGTATTCTGTACTTGCCGTTACTTGTATTAATTAATAATCTGGCTGTTAGTATTTGATTGGCAAAATTCTAAATTGTATACCACAAATGTTTATTGTGCCCTCCCACTCCTCTCCAATGCTTGCCACTCCTCCCCCATGCTTGCCACTCCTAGCTGTAAATTCCTTGAAATAACTGTTTATCTTTACTCCTCCTTAGGCCCAATCCCCAAACCATCTCTGCAACTAGCCTCTTCAATTCTACTCCGCTCAACCCACCCACCCGTCCTCCCACCAACCCAGGTTCCCCCTAAATTTATAGCATGCTCCTCCAGCTGTTTAAGATTCTCACTCAATTACCTCTTCATTCCCTCTATTTTTTTTTATCAATAGCTGCAACTCTCTATTTACTTTTTTAGCCATCACTTTCAAATTTCCCCTGCTACCTCTTGTCTCAAATCCCCACGGTATCCTTTAGATTGTAAGCTCACGGGCTAGCTAGCTATGCACTTTGTATGAAAGAGCTTAAATGGCAAGATCTCTTCCTTACGGGCAGGGCCATCTCTACCTTTTGTATTTGTCTGCGTATATTTTACGACCTCCACTAATTGTACAGCGCTGTGGAATCTCTTGGCGATTTATAAATACCAGTAATAAATAAATAAATAAATTAATAATAGTGTGTGCATTTGTCTGTTGTGAGTGTGATTCTGAACACATTATTTTATATTTTTCCTTTCCAGCTTCAATCCCTTTACCCCATTATCTCCCTCCCAATAACCCTAATCCTGTATCTTCCTTAATATTTTAGTTGTTCCCTTGTCTTTCAAACCTTCATTTCAATACACGCGCTAGTCTTTCTAACTACAATATAGCTCTCTATCTCCCTTTTGCCTCTAAACTACTCAAGAACATTGTGTAAAATATATCAATTTCCTCAGTTCTAGTATAAAATCACCAAATATGTTCTGCTGCCTCGTCAATTCTTCTTGGATGTCCCAATATTACCTGATACTTTTATGCTCTAAAATTATTCTCTACGCGTTACCTTTACTTCCAAGTTCCCAACAGAGAGGTAAAAAATGTCAACATGATGTCTGGCACCTTCTTCTTATCTTCATATGGTTTCTCTTGCTAGTAAATTCTTTAACCCCAACACTCACATACTCATAATATTCAAAATCCATCCAATGCGTCGTCTCCCTATCCCGTACGTACCTTGCCTCTTAGCTTCACCTTTTTCGGATCACCAATTCCTGATGACGTCTCTTAAAACGTACCGTGGTAGGTGGCTTCTGTTTTTCAAACCAATATATTAAAGTAAATGAGAATGACAATTAAATACTAATAAATACTAACATTTTTTTTTTACAACTTGAAGTTTATTCGTGTTTTGGTTTAGTCAATTACATATCACAAAACAGTATGGGTGGGGTATGGGATACAAAAGATAAAGGGAGGGGTGCAGGGTACAAGTTGCAGGTTACAGCGGTTGGTTTGTTAACTTTATTACACATTTTACACTTTTTACACTTTTTGATGCGTCACATAGTTCTACCCTTGTTTTGGTCTGTTTTAGTTTCGGGTACTAGAGTCCTTTTGGGTGAAGGTATTTTGTTGCGTACCTGGCCAGATTACTAATTGTCTCGTTTCCCGGTGGTGTTTGTGCCTTGTTATTAGGTTGCGGTTATTCTTTTTTATTTTTTTATTTATTTAATTTTTTTTTTTATTTATTTATTTATTTTTTTCCCTCTCTTCCCCCCTCTCCTGTGATTACATGTTGATGTTCGATACTTCGCTATGTATCCTTTACTGTGTGGTGCGTTCAGCATTCCCTGGCATGGATGATTGGAAGGGGGA